GCTCTTGAGTAAATGAAAATTTACGTCTAGCTTAGATTTTTGTCTCTCTCTCTTATTATTATTATTATTCTGTTTTTAACGCTCAGGAATGCTTTCAAAAAATTGCGAATTTTTTCTACCCAGAAACAACGGAATGCATCTTTTTTTCTGAATTAAAAAAAAAAAAAGCTTATCCTTTATTTAGCCTAACCAAGTAGACAAAGCAATATTTGGACTTGAATGAGGGATGAAATTATTTCTGTGAGAGATTGCTTACAATTTTTGGTAGGAAGTGATATCTTCCAAGTTTGTATCTTATTTTTTTTCCCTCCTCTGCTCTCCCACACTAGATGGTGCTTTGATGAAACAGTAACGCATTTCATATATAAGGGAGGACAAAATGACAACAACAAGGAATACAGATCTGTTAAAGAAAGGGGTATACACATTGTTTCGGAGCACTGGCTTTTGGAGGTATGGAGCAGAAGTTTCGTTTCCAAAAGTGTTACTTAGCTATTTCTTTTTGAATGGAAATGGAAACTGAACCAGTTACGGCAGTTGATTTCTGCTTGAGGTTTTTAGTGAATACATAGAAATTGATGTTTTGCATCCTGCTTTGAGTTTTTAAATTGTGCAATCAATTTCCATTGATTTACCTCATAAAAGACTGGAGCTAAAAACTGATAAAAAAGGAAGGAGAAAAAGAAAACCTGCAACCACCAGGTCTTAGCTGAGCTTTCTCTGAATGGTAGCTTGCCAAATTTGTTCCACTGCAGATAAAAATGTTTAGACTTTCTCCTTGAGGAAAAAATATTCTCTCTTACGTTTAGCATTTTGCTACAAGTTTCTCGGGATGCCCACTCTATTTTTATCTTGTGTAAAGTACATTTTGCTGTGATGTCTTTAATGCTCTTTTCCCATGTTTAGATGTGGAATTTCTCTTACTTTTCAGTTTCTCATTTTTCTTATGTTGATGAATGTTGTTACAGAGTGCCCAGGAATATAAACGTCTTCCTGAATCTCTCTTTCCTCACACTTACAATCCCAAAATGAGCCTGGACATCAGTGCGGTGCATGATGCCAGGTTCTGCTCTTCTGGCACACTTCCATCAACTGGAAAAGCAGCCGAGGAAAATGAGGTATAGTATTACATGAGTTGGTGTTCTGTGCAGTGATTGGGATCCAGTTGACTTATTTGTTACATTAACATAATAACAGATAATGTTGATACATCCTTAGTGGTGCTATGAGTCAGGTTTAACTTGTAATTAACAATAACTGTCACAGACACATCTGCAGGTTTTCTGCATCTGTAATACTGCTTTCCTAGGGGAGAGAAGGGAACCCAGGTCTTCAGAGATTAGAAAAGCTTTCCAAATTTGAAACAATGTAGTCTTGTCTTTGGCTTCTCTTGTAGGTGAACAAGAGATCCAAGGCATGAAGTGTCTTTTAGCAGATACTTAGAGTGCAGAATAGATGTTGTCACTGGTGCTGTTCACTGTCTTTTTGTCCTTGGCGAAAGAAACATTAGACTGTTCTAGGACAACCTTATTAACCCTTGGAATTTGTGTAAGTGTTGAACAAGGTGAAACTTGCAGCTTCTGGCATTAGTTTGAGAATTTTACTTGATTGATTTATTTGTAGATCATTCCAGTGGATGAAGATGATGTTGAAGATGATGTAACTACCGACCAAATGAAGGAAGTAGTACCTACAGAGGGAGAACAAGTTGTAGCAAGTGAAGCCAAAGGAGGTAAATGTAAATCTTTTCTTGTTTTCAAAATAGTTGTGGCATGTCAAGTATAGAAGCCTTTTACAGATTCAGGTGCTATTCTGTACGTTAAGATCTGGAAATTCAGTTATCATACTTACTTCCCAGTTAGGTACAGCCTGGTGGCTTTGATATTGATAGAAGTGAGGAAAAGGTTTTGCTGTTTGCTTTAGAGACTCTGACAGCCCACAGGAAGATGGTGGTCATCCATTGCAAATTGCTTAGGTCTTTCTGTTTCATTGTGGCTTTTTTGGGGGGTAGTGAAGGGAGACAAAAAACTGAAATTTGTCTTTAACGTGGCAATAGCATTGTTTTAGAGTATAAATTATTGTGATAGGTAAACAAATGTGTTACAGGGGAAGCATGGTTTTAAGCCAGATCTAGCTGTTCCCAAGCAAATCTGAAAGTGATCCAGCTGGGAACTCCTGCTTGTGTTCAGGAATGGGTGACTCGGGGCATACAGATTTTCTAGACTTCTTTCTCCTTGATGTGTTTGCGCTGACAGGGGAAAAGTTGGTTCAGTTTCCTGTCACTTTTCCCTGCTTACAATACAGCAGTTTTGATTTTGTGGGCCTTGTCTCTTCTCTTGAAGTATTAACCCAAACACTAGAAATGAGAGAGAATTTCCAAAGGCAGCTGCAGGAGATCATGTCTGCCACATCGATAGTGAAACCCCAAGGACAAAGAGGATCCCTCTCCAGGAACAGCTTTGATGGGTCTCCAACCACCCCTGATGGCCCCCGATCTGTGCGAAACGGCCGCAGCCGGGTCTTGGAAGCTCTGAGGTATTGATTTTGCATCTCAAAAGTACTTTATTTTGTCCTGCCTGCCCTTACTTACGCTACCTTTTGGATATTGCAGCCTTGTGTACAGCAAAGGATTATTTAGGTGTCTGTCCTGTTCCACAGGCAATCCCGGCAAGCGCTGACAGATCTCAACACAGAGCCATCACAGAGTGAGCAGATCATCTGGGATGATCCTACTGCAAGGGAGGAGAGAGCAAGACTCGTCAGCAACTTTCAGTGGCCTAATAGTCCTTCCCAGTACACTGAGCAAGTTCAAAGTAACATCAATAAGAACATGGATGAGTCTACCTTCAGATCCTTAGCCGATTCAGAGCTTGCTGCTCTAGGTAAAATCAGAAATAAAATAGACTTTGTGTTTAGACATTACAGTGTAATACAAGTGAAACTGGTATTTGGAACCCCAGCTGTGTTGCGAATAAAAATTCAGACTAGTATAGTGGATTTCAAATAGGGATACCAATAACAGAATCTTTTTAACTGTAGTGGAAATAATCATAGGTAAACCCTGGGAATACAGAAAAGAGAGATCCATGAGTCCCCAGAACTTGCATCTTGGAGCTGCTGATGGGCACATTTAGGTCAGGATTTAGTCAAGATTCTATATTTATCTTTCTTCCTTGTTCTTTTGAAATCTTTATTCTATAGCCAGGACTAAGGAAGCAACATATGTGTGCTGTTTGCATCTGCTTTTGCTTTGTTCCTGCTTCTGCCTTTTGAGAGATAGTGGAATGCTTTGGCCTCTGCCCTATACTTCCCTTTATAGAGTTTCTGCTTGCAGCAATAGTCTTCCTGTAGTGGAGGAAGACCCTGTAGTAGAGGAAACTGGGGAAAACCAGCTATGTCTATTCAATTGAATCATGGTTTTTCTGAATTGGTGCAGTTTAGCCTAAGAAATTAGGTCATTTAAGTTTTTTCGTCTTCCCAAGCAAGACATGAAGGAGTATGAGCCTGCAGTGTTTCAGTTGGTGCTTTGGGATAAGAGAGAAGTGCATCTTTTGAGGAAGGACAGTGTTGCTGTAATGTAAATGTAGGTGTTGTAGCAGCAATTCTTTTTTTTCTATCCATTCCCTGTAGCTCCCTTTTTCAGCTTTCCCCCTAACTATACTCAGCCCAAGACAATTCATCAATTCATGCACCATTGCTTTATTGTTCACAGATGGTCCCGAGGCTGGGGATGGAGATGTGACTGCAGATCCAAAGAATCCTGTGTGTGGAGATCCTGAAACACCCCTTAAAGAAGATAAGCTGATCCCCACTCCACAGGCCCCCAGCATTGCTTTCCCACTGGCTAAGCCTCCTGTGGCACCACAACCCAAAGAGAAGGTGAGTCATTTACTGAAATGTTTGTGATTGTGTGTTTTCTGAGAGGTGCACTGTTCTTAAGTTTAGAACCCGAAAGTTATGTATAATAGGCGAATGCCTGCATTTAAAACACTTACAGGGTTTGGTCCTGTGCAGTTGTGTTTCTCTGCACACTTTCCCCTTCCCTGCGCAGGACTGGGAACAGATGGTGTTTTTGAGACTGAAGCTTCATTGCTTCGTTAGACTTTTCGTCCAAAAACATTTTTACCAGAATAGTTCCCGTTGGGATGCTGAGGTTTGCTGTGAAGAGTTGCTGTCTGCATGGTCTGGAGCTCCTTCAACTATGCTGATGGAGTATGGTGATGGAGAAAAGGATTAGGTCCTGGTTTCCTCTGAAGTATTTGGAATTTGTGCGTTAATGCAAAACGAATTTCTTTTCCCTCGAAAGCCTGATTTTGCACTGCAAGATGTCATCTTGAAAATGAATTTTTAGTCTTGTGTTCACCAAGTTATTAGTTGATGCTCAAACTTTCAGGAGCTGCGTGTTTTCAGAGGCATAAAGTATCACGCTAAATACGTAAGCTGTGGTGGATTTGTATAAAAGGCCTGAACAAAGAAGGCAGTGTGATAGATGGATGTTTTTTTCGTATGTGTAACTAGGCATTCAGAGCATATGAATGAAGGATTACTTTTTGTGACAGATTGGTTCATTTGTGCCCTGAAGAAAAGGGGAACCAAGAGGATATTAAGTAGGAGCCTAATGTTGATGTGGTAAGATCCAAGTCTTGGCCAAGTGATTGACAGGTTTGGTTCTGCTTTTGCTAGCTGAAAGAAAGCTTAATATAAAAATAACCCAGCATGTTTGGCAGAGAAGTATTCAGTCAAACTAATCTTTCTGTGATATTTTCAAAAATCTGTTGCTGTATTTGCAGACTCTTGCAGAAGATGAGAAGGCTGATGAAGAACCAGAAAAACAGCGTAAATTTCAGCTGTCTTCTCTTAATCCTCAAGAACGATTTGATTACTGCCATCTGATTGAGGAATTAGGTACCAGATACTTGCAAAATGACAGAATAATGTGGGTCTGTAAGCTGGTCAGCTGTGGCTTTCTTGGAAAAGAAAGGGCTTCTGTTAATGACTCACCAGATTTGAAGTCTCAGATTTATGGCTTTTTGTGCTTGTGAGCTATTTGTTGAATATATTGTCATTAATGCAGAAGTTATCAGTTTTACCATAAACAGCAACTGCTTCATCTTCTAGCATTTTCTTTTAGTCATCTCCACAGCAGCCTCATTCTTTACTGCTGGAGTATCCAAGAACTGCCGTGCTCTGGTGTCTCTTCCTGCCTTTTTTGCAGTGGCCCTTCTTTTAACAGAGCCACTTTTTCCTGCTTGCCCTTCCTTCCTTGCCAGCTTCTGCCCAGATCTTCTCAGTGATAATATTTTCTTGGTAAATTTGAGTTAAGTGTATTTCTGTCTGAATTCAAGTAATTCCTGCTTTGGGGGATCCTTTCTGTGGTGGACTGCGTGACCCTTAATTAATTTGCCTGAAATCCATTCCTCTGTCCCAAGGTGGAATAGTGCTCGAGAAGCAGTGCTTCGATCCCAGTTGCACACACATCGTTGTGGGGCATCCTCTACGAAATGAAAAATTCCTGGCCTCGATGGCAGCTGGGAAGTGGGTGCTCCATCGTTCCTACCTGGAGGCGTGCAGAGGAGCTGGCTGCTTCGTTCAGGCACGTGACCTTATTATTGAGCAACGCTGTGTTAGACCTTTCACTTTTAATCTTGTACTGCTACGAAAGAAAGAAATTCCCAAGGGGATTAGCAGTTTGGGGTGCCCAACCTTGGGACAACCTTATGCTTGTGCAGGATAAATGAAATACCCGTGCTTAGGAGTCTCTTCTGAAAACTGAAGCTTAAGCACCTGTGGTAAATCCTCACTGGTGTCACCTGAAGTTATGTGGATTTTGTTACACCACGAACTAAACAGTGATCTTTCCTGTTAACGAACCTACTCTATGTTTAAAACAACGTCAATTGTTTTGGAAAAGAAATCTGGAAATGCAGATTAGATGGTATTCATAATAGTGAGCAATTTTGCACTGCTCTTGAATTTTATTGTAGGTAACTGCAAGAGGAACTTAGCTGTGTATAATGTGATTGATGTCACAGAAAACATGAGTTGATTTTAAAACTGGGAAATCCAGAGTCTCTGTATTGGTGTGTGTATATAGACATATATGTTCAGTTAAGAGCCATATCTCTAATTTTCATTACAGTTGCTTTAGCGAGGTAGAATCAATATACAAAACTAGACTGAGCTGAAACCTGTTCTGTTTTTTTATTTTTCTGCTGACAAATTTGGCAAGGTTCCTTTGTAATTCAAGCTTATGATTCTTCTAGGAAGAAGATTATGAGTGGGGAAGTAATTCCATACTTAATGTTTTGTCTGGAATCAATGTAAACCAGAAGAAACTAGCACTCGCAGCCATGAGGTGGAGGAAAAAAATCCATAAAGGAAGGCAAGAAACTGGTGTTGTTGAGGTATTTAGACACTTATACAATGTGTGTGACATGGTGTGCATGGGCAGCACAGGGACTGTCACCAACAAACCCAGAAACTTAACTGCCAGGGAAAGATGATCTGCCCTGCTCTTAAGAACAGAGTGGCTTAGTGGGGTGTCTTGCTCAACAGCTTTGTTTCCAAAAGGCTTTTGGTGATGGTGTATTAGTAATAAAAGTCTTAATCGTTTCCTGAAGCAGTGTTCATGATTGCAAAGCTCCTCGTGTAGGCACGTGTCCTCCAGCCAGTCAGCTTATGGTTTTTATGCCTCAGAGCTCCGCTTCCCAGACCCGATTGGTTTATTGGGATAGTCCCAACAGTGGCTCCAAACGCGGTGCCGGCTCACGTGGCCCTTGCGACAGCTCGTACAGCTGTGGCAGGGAGTGCACTAATGTGCTTTAAACAGCTCAGCTGGCCAAGACTGGCCTCTCCAGAAGCACCTTGTGTGATTTTTGAAGTTCCTTAGTGTTTCAATGAGATTTTTGGAAGTGGGACTTGGGCTCCTATTTAATTAACTCCTGTGTCAAACCAGGACACTGCCAAGGTAGTCCAGTACAATACAAAGCAGAAATGCTGCCAGTGTCTCAGTTGCATCTGGGTGATACTTGATTTGGGGGTTTCTTGCACTAGTTTTTAAATGAATTCTTGTAAAGCAAATCCTTGTACCCTTTGCTTACTTGGAAACAGCAAGAGGTGCTTGTCTGAGGCAACCAGTTGACCCTAGGTCCTGTTGCTGTAACTGAGTACATCACCCAGTGCAGAGAGGGGGGAAGAAATCAAATAGCTGCATTTCTTAAACATGTGTTTCAGTAAATGAGTGTCTGTTATACTAGGAAACCTCATTGCCGAGTGCTTTTTAACATTTTGGTTTGTCCATCTTGCTATGCATGTGAAAGCCAGAGGTGCTGGCTTGTGGCATCTTGTCTGCTTTGTACAGTTAAAAAGACAAAACTAGGGGACAGCACATCCTGATCTGTCAGATTGTAACTATGTTAATCCTTTCATAGTACCAACATTCTTTTGGCTAAATTGAATCTTTTACCTAGGGGGCCTTCAGCGGCTGGAAAGTGATCCTGAACGTCGATCAAACCAAGGAAGCTGGATTCAGGCGTCTTCTTCAGTCAGGAGGAGCAAAAGTATGTAGTTATTCTTTGTTTTAACTAATTAAATATGTGGTTTTACATTGTTTTGGTAGGTATTGGTACCATCTCTAAGCTGTGCACTGTTTAAAAGCCTTAAGCAAAATTGCTTACTCAGAATAGCTGAGATGGGACTAATAGGTGGGAGAAAAAAAGCAATGGTGTCTTCATGTTGCAGAAGTCAGTAATGGTGGAGAGGCTTGTAGGGTAGAATGTCTGGGCCCTGCTCCAAGAGAAGGGTCACCCTTCCTGCAGTGTGCATGAGCATAGAGAGTTCAACTGCAATGACATTTCATTTTCTATCAGTTTGCAAGTTAATTTGATGAGTGACTTTCTGGCTGTAAAGTGTTTGTCTTCCCCGAGGAAGAAACACAAAAATAAATGCATCTCTGTCTGTTATGCTTTACTCTCTAGGTGTTTTCTGGTCACTCTGGGGCTCTCTTTAAAGAAGCCACTCACCTCTTCGCTGACTTCAGCAAGCTGAGGCCGGAGGAGAGCAGGGTGAACGTCGCGGAGGCAGCAGCCCACGGGGTGAACTGCCTGAAGCCGGAGTACATCGCGGACTACCTCATCCAGGTGCGCGGGCCCGGGAGCGCTCTGCGCCTCCCGCGGAGGCAGAACTGCAGTGGCCAAGGCCACGGGAGGCCTCGGAAACAGCCACGCGCCGGGGGCAGTGTCTTGCCACTAACTACGGCCCCTGCTGAGGATTTTGGTCCTTGGTTTCAAATGCTGTTTGCTGTAAGATGACAGCCCTTTTTCCAGCATTGGGAGTGGGGTCTGTTGCAGGGTAGGGAGCTTGTAAAATGTGCTCAAACTCTTGTGGAACCAATGGTTTTTATTTTTGTTTTCCTGTTTCTGTTTAAGACAAGACTGAAACTGTCCTTTCTTCTTGAAAGCATCTCCTTAAGCTAAACATTTTTTTTTTTCCAATTGAAGGAGCCACCTCCTCCGATGGAGTCCTACTGCTTGCCAGAAGCCGAGTCTAACCTTGAGAACAACAAAGAACTTGGAACTGGATTATCCCAGAAAAGAAAAGCAACAGGAGGAACAAGCAGAGTCAAACGATCCAGAATACACTGAGAAAATTCCCTGTTTTTAATTAATGCATTTTTTTAAAATTCATATTTATATTTTTTTCATTCTCACTACAATTAAAAGCTTTGAGTTTCACTTTTAATTTGCCTTGAGATTACAATAAGTTTCCCATAATACTGATAGGAACTGTTGCTTTGGTCAGTGGTAGTTTCTAAAAACTCGAGTTTTAGTAAAGCACTCACTTGTCCAAAAAAAAAAAAAAAAAAACATGATCTCCATAATGTTCTGATCACTGGCACTTTACAGACTTGTTTGGGGACACCATCCTATGATAATATTTAAGATATGAGATGTTTAACACATCTTCCAGCTGTGTGCTGCAAAGAATGTATAAGGAGAGGGTGAGACTCCTTTTGCATTTGCTCTGAAATAATAGACATAGATCTTTGGGTGGTTTGGGAAGCAGGGAAAAAAAGATAGGAACAATACTTGGCTTCTACTTTTTGGTACAAATATGGGGTGTACATAGTGACTGTAATAAATTATTTCTATAAAACCCTCTGTTTGAGGCTCTGCCTTTGTGAATGCAAGCTCCATTTTGCAAAGGGGAGACTACGTCGGAGCAGGCTTCCTTGTTTGGGTGTGCAAGGAGAAGGGGCAGTGCAGCTGGAGGGGTTCGTGGCCAGGCTGCCACGGGGCTTGACGAATTGTTGAAGCTTTAGTAACTGGCACGTGGGTCTCTGTATTGAGAAGTTCCTGTAGGCCAGTTGTACCATACTGTGCACTTAATAAATCAAACATGCTGTCTTCTCTGCCAGCCTGTTTGCAATGAGCTAGAAGTGGTGCAACCTGGTTGAAGAGGAAGGAAAAAAGAAGTTTTTCCTGACTGAAGTTGGGTGGGACAAGGGGAAATATCTGGGGGCCCGTATGTAACAGTTAGAAAAGTTAGTTTTTTTAGCTTAAACCTCTAGGAACCAAAAGGGTTTGAACACTGCTTGTTTTGAAGCTCTGTATGGAGGGGGGAAGAGGGGAGCTTCTGCTTTTATTTTTTTTCTGTTTGAATAATACGTGTTTTAGAAAATCTTTCCATCACTAACCTGGTGGCTGCAGAAGAAGAGCAGCTGCAAGTGTCCAGGTGATCTGGTGAGGCCCGGAGCCCCTGTGCTCAGCTCTTGCCCTTTGCTGAGAGGGGAAAGGGACAAGGAGCTTGAGGCGAGGGGGCTGTTTTCCTGATGAGGAAAAGCAAGGAAGGGGTAGTGCTCAGTGCCAGCAGCCCTTGGGCTTCTGCTTCCTCCTTCACTGCAGCAGCAATTTTGGGGCGAGGGCTGCAGTGAGCTCTGAAGGGCCCTGACAAACGGATGCCGTGTAAGGAAGGGTCAGCAGGACAGCAGGGACTTCAGCTCTTCCAAAAGCCTGGCCCAGAAACGTGCACTCGTACAGCAGCGAGGCCAGGATAGCGCTGGGGCTGTCACTGAATCAAAAAGAGCCCACACCAGCCTAGCCTCGCTTTGCCTCTCTTGATCTTGTAAGTAAGTGTGATACTTCATCATGGAGGAAGGAGCCCTGGCTGCAACACGGGCAGAGACAGGGAAGGGGAGCAGTGAACACAACAGGCATGACATAGAGGCAGAGGTAGAAATTCATTTGCTGCTGTAAGATAACTTTATTTATTTTCTTCAGCTTTCTTCACAGGAAACATCACAAAAGTGCTTTACAGAGTTTCATACAGTTACTCTAAGGGTGGGGGAGAAAGGACAACAACCGCACATTTAGAAGTTGTCATATGCAGAAGCCATGATAGGTAAACCAGGGTTTAAAAAAAAAAAAAAAAAACCCTGACAAAATATATATGCATTAAGGTTTTGAATTTCAAACTTAAATAATGACTATAAACATAAATAATTATATAAATATACAGGCACCATGAGGTTCCTGTGCAAACTGTGGGGAACCACGCAGGGCTTCTCTGACACAGGTCGTGCTGCATCCGGCTTGGCAAAGCCCTTTCTGCAAGGCTGCACGGGCCCCTGGCCACGCGTTTTCCCCACACAGACCGAGTCCTTCTCTCCCGCCACCGTAAGCATTCCCGGGGCTTTAGCGTTTCCTCAGGATAACGTTCACGAGGAGGCGTTCCCACTCAGGTGAAAGCAGATTCAGTTTATTGAGGAGTAGAGAGTGCGGAGAGGTTGCATTATCCGTCTCCTCCATCCCTGCCCCTCACTGCTCTCTGCCCACTCTTCACCCAGTCATCACAGATTAACAAAAGGAGTTCCCAGAGGCTGGGCCTGTGCTGCTGGAGCGGGGGTTGAGCCAACAGCTCGGAAGGAAGCTAACAGGAAAAGGAAGAGGGTTCTGCTACTGACCTGTCCTATTCCATGGCCACTGCTCCTTCCATTTTGTTGCATTAAGCCCGAGGTGCTCAAAGTCAGTTGGAATCAGGCACTCAAGTAGCTTTTGAGGTTCTAGGTTTAAGTGTAACAAGCTCCTGCACGTCAGGAGTCGAGCGTTACTGGTCACATTTATTTGCTAAGCGTTTTACAACAGCAGCAGAGCCGTGTGCGCGAAGCTGGAGGCCGGGCCCTGCCTGAGGAAACGCAGCGCGGCTCTTGCTCAGGGAGCTGGGGCTGCCCGTGGGCCAAGCCCCAGGGAGGGGAGAAGGGTCAAATACTCCATGTGCTCAACTCAGCCGAGGGACTAGGTCTTTGCTTGTACTTCTGAGCTGCAGGAAATACTAGTGGAGCCGGTTAGCTAGCAAACACTGTCACATGTCACTGAGGAGCCTTCTGCCTAATTCCCAGGTTAAACACGGTGCTCAGAGAGGACTAGTCATGCTCAAGGGCTACTGAGTGGTTAGTAAATATATAGTGGAGGAAGGACTTAGGCAAGGACAAGACTAGGGGCTTCAGTGAGTGGTAGCAGCGCAGCTGTGTCTTTTAAGACACATGGGGAAGGGTGCAAAGTCCCGCACTCAGACAAATACAGGGTAAAGTTGCTCACTGTATGCCCTCTACCCGCCAAATTACTATTTGGAAAGCAAAACAAACAAGCAAGCAACCACCACTCTTCAAATTTGCAAGCTTTAAAAATCCTCCTTTAGGATGCCATCAAAAAACAAGTTAGGGCTGTATATAAAGCACCTAACAGATAGACCCCCCCACCACTTATCTGGGTGCAAATCCAAGGTATAATAAATCCTCAACCACATACCACGATTAGTACCAAACCCAGCTAGTCTGCATGATGTGATATCTAATATCAGGAGAATGCAGCTCTTGGAGGACTCAAGCCCTTTTTGGATGCATAGCCTACCATTTAAGCCACCTTTGCAATTATAAACACAGCATTACTCATAAATGCAATCAACATTTAAAGGCAATATCTTATTTACAGATGTAACATCTCTAAAGTATAAGCTGAAAATGAAAAGAGATGAAACAAACCACAAAAGACTAAGCCTGGCCCCAGTGTTGCTACACTCACCTTCACCCCACATATAATTTCAATGATGTCAAGTGTTACTACAGCTCTGCTAGATTCAGTGTGCCTGAGCCTGCTTGCTTGTCTGAGGCAATACAATGCACCTGCTTTAGCTCTGCCAGATTCAAAGAGAAAAATAATCTGGAAGTTTAGAGCAATGGGACCTTTTTGTTGTGCTTGACTCCAGCTGTTAGAGCTAGACTTCTAATAAGATCTCAAATCAAATTTCAATGAAACTGATCTCATGACTGAAGCAAGGAATAACTCCATTGAAACCAATGAAGTCAGGCTGTAGGAGATCAGATTCATACATGTTTTACCTGGTTCTCAGTGCATTTGTTCTCTTTTATCAGCCTGTTTTTATGGTTTGAATCATTTTGTTTTGTTTTTCTCAAAAGAGAAAGCTTATGACAGCATTTCAACCAACAGGTTTCTGTTAGGCAAATTATTGCAAATAAAGCAAACAGTTATAACTCAATGACTTCAAAGCTACCGCAACAGAGCTAGAAATAAAATTCAGTACAGAAGAAAGGAAACCGGGAATTGAAAAGATCGTATCCAAATAAAAGTTAATAGAAGCATGCCATGCTAATCACTGGTAAGGAGAGGGAATGTATGAAGATGTGAGTATACAGGACGGCAATAGTCAATGCCTGTAGAAAGTTATTAGGTGCGTCAGCACTAGGGAAGATGGTGACTGCCAGGGTGGGCCAACTGACGGCGTAAACTTGGCAAATCAATGGCAACGGTGAATACTGGAAAGGTTTAAACCACTCATACATGCTCTGGTGGATTCTGAATTAGTTGTGATCTTTCAGGGGACGATCTAGGCATCACCATGGACAGCTTGATGAAGACATCTGTTCAATGTGCAGTTTCAGTCAAGAAAGCGAATAAGATGTTAGGCTGTATTAAAGACAGAACAATAAGGAAAAATATTACAGCATGTATTTCCCTTCGGTCCTTAACGAATATTTGCTGTTTCACCAGCACCTTAACAAAAGAGACATATTAGAAAATACACAGGGAGGAAAGTGGTAAGAGAAAGGCAGAAGGAGCTTTTCATAGCTGGAAAGTCATTAAGTACAAGGCAATTTATTTCTGAAAGGGGGAAAAATAGATGATACATAGCTTAAAAGTACTTCATTACCTTCCTTACCCAAGCAACAGGACATTCCTCAAGGTCGTTTTAAGCCAACTACTAGTTTTTTGACATCATTGCTGCATGAAAAATATCACTCAGGCTAAGTGATAGGCTAAAGAGGCCCCCACATTATTCCTTAATGTTCACCATTCAGCTAGTTAGATACTTCCTGTAGAGCAACCCACTAGTCTATTGGAATTTAGCAGTAATCATTTGCGACAGCGACTCGTCATGACTGACACATCCCCGCGACCGTCTCGGAGCTGCTGCAGTGATGGAGCAGAAACCGCTGCCGGCGCCGGCGCTCGTCCTGCCCAGCGCCCAGCCCCGCTCGGAGCCGTCACCCTGCGCGTCCTCAGAGGCCTCCTACAAAGTCCGAGGGACGAACCTTGAAATCGGGAGCAGATTTAAAAAACTTACAAGGCTTTAAGTTGACCACAGTATTTCCATTGTGCCTGGATGCTATTTCAGCTTAAAGAAGGACGAGGATAAACAGTAAAACAAGAGGCTCTTTGCGCTCCTGCCACCAGCCACCACTTCTTAGCATCCTGACACGCTTATCTGCTTACGGCAGGGAGAGGATCGTGAGTGTTCACCCGCAGTGAACTTCTCCATAGGATCTGAACAAACTTTAAAGCAGCCACATTAAGAGAGCTGGCTATCAACTGGGAGCAGAATTTTATTTCAGTCATGAGGTTTACAAAATAGAGCAATATTGATCTTCATGTACTCCACATAAAAACAAAAAGCCTCACATTAACACACCATTGAGGTTGCACAGTTGATCACAAAAGGAGGAAACACCAGATGAACTTCTCAGCCTGAATTTTGCCCTGGTCCATACATACTAAAATATAGTCTAAATACATAGTACTTAAACAGAACAAACATTACATTCTGTAGAAATAAAACTTTCCCCAAATTAATACTAAAATATCATAAAGAAAGCCGATGCAAAACCATTTTTATAAAGGTTTTGACACTTCACCCTTCTATAGCATCAGCCCCAGTTGTAACCTCACAACTACCCTGTGATGGAAGGCTTTTTTATGATTATTTTTTAACAGCAGGGAAAATTGAAGCAAAGCAGAACTAAATTCCTTGAGGCTAGTCCAGAAGCTCAGTGGGAAAGGCAAGGCCAAAGTCCACTCTCTTGGCTCTGTTCCCTTACTGCAGAATGCACAGGCTTTTTCCCCTCTGTGTGTTTAGATACTCTTCACTCCAGCATTCAAAGGCACTGCTTTTTCCTCATGGTTTATTAGTATTTTGGCGCACTTGTATCTGTCCAAGCAGCCTCTTGAATTTCATTAACCTTGCTACATAACCCATTCCATGCAACTGAACATAAATATCAAGGCGTACATCCCATCGGTAGATGTTTCCCCAAAAACAGGGAATGTGTTGAAAGCTATTGAAAGCAGTGGCCTTGTTTTTATCACATAGAAGTGAAAAGAGCTGTTAGATAATCTCATTATGAAATAACTTCTTTTTTTTTTTTTTTTAAATGTAAATGCTCATAGTTCATCTTTCCTTTGTTTGGGGAACTGGTTAGACCACTGTGTACCCACAAGAAACTACCCTCTCTCTGGATTTATTTCTTACATTAAAAAAATAATAGCAGAATGCTTTCCGCAACTAGGGAGCATTTCTACTACTTCAAACACAGATCAGATGGATCTGCCACTTCTGGGTACAGCCCTTATTCCCCCTCATGCTCTCCCTCCAAGTTACTTACACTCCACTCCTGACCTCAGACTGCACATTCAAGGTCATCATTTACCAAAAGGCCTCTCCCTTTCGCCTTCCCAGTGTTTTACCTGCATATTTACCATTAAAAACAGAAAAAAGAAAAAAAAAAAAAAAAAAAAAAAGGAGACATACCCAAAAGTTACTCATTTTCCAAACCAGGATTAAACATTTTTTTCTTTTCTCCTATCATTTCTTTTTCCATCTGCTAGACCTCACAAGCTCTCACATTATATCACATCCAGGCAAGCGGATTTTAAAACTTTTCCTGAAGAATTTTCAGCAAATGTGTTAGACTTGTTCCTTGTATGCACCTAATTTATATATTTAAAACTTAAGTAAGAACATTTCCTAACCACCTACGCAAAGCATGTACTTAAAACTGTTTTGTGAAATTAAAAGCTGAGGAACAGAAATGAGGCAGTTTAGAAATGAAGATACTATCAGAAAACTAAATCTGTATCATAGCTGTTCACAAGGCCTTGTCTAGTAGTCAAGGTTTTTCAGTTAAGAGTTGAGCTTCTTGGTAATTTTAGACAAATAGCAAAGCAATTACATGAAGTATTTCTCATTTCTCTATTTCAGGGTTAAAAAGAGTAATGCAACTACCTATGGAGAATAAATAAGCATCTTCATACAACATGAAGCCATATTGTGGTATTTGAAAGAAAGCCAGTAGAAAGTTTCAAATTCCTCAACCAGGATAGGAAGAAAAACTGCTTATTGCAAATGCCCAGATAAGCAAATTCCAAGATGTGTGGTCTTATTAATTTTATATTCTGTTTCTGTGACCTAAATGGCATAGAAGTCTCAGCCATGTTGTGGTGAAAGAACTTCCAAGAGCTAGTAGCTGCAATCCAAGAGCAAAAACAAGTCCCTACGATGACAAAAGTCTAACACAATTTCCATTTATTCGTAGTTTTAGTGAAGACAGTTCCCTTAAACACCAGTGACATGATTGGTAAAGCCAGCTACAGAGGAAAAAAGCTCGGAATAAGGGCAGTGGCATGAGAGGGTCACTGTTAGTTGTCAGCTCCTCTTCACCTGCAGGTGAGATTAAACATGGCAAAGCCAAAGCAGTGGGAAAGAACGAACGCCCTCCTCGATTCCCCATGAACTCCCGTTGCCAGCGGTGCCAGATTCCTACTGGCAGCGTTCTGAAAGTCCAATTCCCTAACAACTGCTTTTGGGGGGGGCATTTTAACATCCCATATCTACACACTACACAATCAAAAACACACATCCAACTTGTTCCTTTTCAGTAACTTCTGAGCACTTAGATAACCTACTACTTCATAGTTTTATATCTATACTTGCATCTGAAGCCAAAGAAAGTAATAGTGCATCTTTAAATACAAGAACAGTGTACTACAGGACAGGAATTTACCTGACACAGCAGAAAATGATGTTTTATTGACTGGTATCAAGAATCTCATCTCTACAGTTGACAGTCTTTCATTTCTAGGAAGAGGCTTCCACAAGTATTTTAAAAGGAATGGAATTGGCATTCTTAGCATGCCTCAAATGAATGCAACAACCACCCAGATGAAGTTGGGCTTGAGAGTCTCAAAAGCATACTCAGCTTCCAAAAACTACTTGTTTTCAAAATTTCAGGCATGCGGAACACTCAACTGTTAAAAGATACCGTTAACTGGTATTTTGATAGCTGTTGGCACCAATATTTAATCCCAAAGCACTTTAAAAGAACGACTAACCCTCCTGTGAAATGCATTCCGTACTATGGAAAGCTGCTGTATTACATTTTCCCCCCCTTTATGCCTCCAAAAAGGAACTGGAATGATATATGTAATCAAAGCCTCCCCAAAACCTCCAGTTAGCAGCAGCAGTGGACTCTTGCACAGCTAATGAACAGCAGTAACCTTACTCCAGAGTTCTTCACCCTGTAATTCAGGAGAGCTACTTTAAGTGAAAAGCAAATTAAAATATCATTCATATTCAAAAGCCAGACTCAAGAGTCTTACACAGTTCCAGTGCTATGAAGACAAGCTGACAGGTAATAAACTACATGTTTTTCTATAGAAGTCCTATTAAGGTACACTGCTATAAGCTGTTAAACATAGCTCACCCGACCATAAGGCTGACTACCCACTCCATGGTCTACCCCTAAGAGATCCAAATTCAGCTGTTGCATGGTCATAAACTAGAACTAAAGATTCATTAGACTGCAGGATCCATGTATATCTCCATTTTATTTCATTTGCAACTGTTACAGGGTTTTCTTGAACTGCCAGAAGTCATGCCCCAAAAAAATCAAATGAAAAAGGTACAATGGACAGTCTCATCTACCCTTCATACAGTAGATTAAAACTTGATTCATGTGCATTGACAATTTCCATCTCTTTAAACATCAAGAAAAGTGTTTAAGATTTCACATTTCTACCACACCACCAAGTGACTTGTCCATTTACCATGAACTCCACAGAAATCTTTACTGACAAACCAACAGCTTTGCTGGCAACAATGTGTTTTCAAGGAAGATGCATGGCTCAGAGTCCAACATTATCGGTATCAGTCTTGCAGTGGGTTTTTTTTTTTTCCCAAAAAAGAACTCTCCAACTTTAAGAACAGTCTCTTGAGCCCTCTATTTAATAGCAGCTTCTAGCAGAAGTTTTTTAGACAGGTAACTCTGCAAGGGCAAGGCCAGTTCTAGTCTCTGCACAAAGAGCCAGGTGAGACCCCAGGCTCACTGAGGTCAACAGCAAAACTGCCCCGGCCTCAGGGACGCATGAAGCGAGTCAGTCACGAGGAACCCAACCGTGCCACTCCTGCACTGGCCTCGGCTTCTACACAGTTCTCCCACGCAAGCGAGCAAAGGTTTGTTCCCTTGTTTTTCTTGCCATTGGCAACTCTTATAGGTTGAGTCTATTTTTTTTTTTTTGGCATTTACTCTGAGAAACCTCAACACCGGAGCACACCACTTAGTTTTGCTTCTGGTGGAAGAGATTAGAGAAAAATAGTTACAGCAGGACACTTCTGGTACTTGCCAGGTTTTGTTCACTGAATCAAAGCCACGGGCAACATCTTCTACTCTCAATATGTAAGTGCCATTTTGCCTACTTCCACTAAATGAAGTCAGAAAAACTTACAGCCACTGCCCTTCCATTATTACTAGTATTCCTGACTTCAAAAAATACCATTTAGGAGTTTTGAGGGATCTCTGCCGTGGCTCACATGCTTCACAGAAGTAGCCAAACAAATATGGCTCACCAAGCTTTAGTTACCCTTCTGCACACAAAGTCATTTTGGTCATAAAGTAACCACTGTTCTTTAAACAAACACACATGTTTTTAACAGAGGAGAAACTTTATCTAGTATTGCTATTGCCATGTATCTTACAAGGTAAGTTTTGAGCACTATAGTCCAGAGTCTGTATATCTCTGTCAAATGAAGGCTCTATATGTCTTAGTGCTTTAGGATGAGAAAGACCAACCTCAGGACCAAAAAAAACAAATCAAAACAAAATAAACCTTATTTCACTATAACATCTCACATTGTTATTTAAATATGCTGCTATTGGATACCAGAAACAAGGCTTTTTTTTGCAGGAAAATAGAAAAATGCTTAAACAAACAACTGTGAAAATGGCTAATTCAAACAGACCATTCAAACCCATAATTCCTCAAATCTGATTCTGTATGAGTTTTAATTTGTTTTGCAGTTACCTCAGTACAGCAATCTAGAAAGGTAAACAAACTACAGCTCTGTGTTATGCTCAGGTAGTATGAGTGGTATGGTATCTTCCAGAAGTCTCTAGCAGGCTATGGCTACACATAACAGGATTCCTCAGAAGGGGAACAGAATAGGTTTCTCTCATTAAGGTCACTTATATCTTTGTTATAGCAAATTGGAACCAAATGGCTGACTTCTGCAGGATTTCTGACAGGAATCCAGTAGAGCTGGTTTCAAGTTTCAGGTGGCCACTAAAACAGCTGTAACCTTCTCTTCCAGAAGTTGTGATCCACATGGTGTCCACAATGAGTGCAGCAAGTCTGAGGTAGTCAACCTTTACGAAGGCTCAGTATCTGAACATAAAAAGATTTTGAAATGACCACTGGCTGTAGGTATCTTTCTGAGCAAGTAAAGAACATTGATGACTCTTGTTCAATCATTTACATTAATTTGCCCCATATCCAATGGAGAAGTTGTAACATATTATGCTTCCATATTGCAGGAGGACCAATCACTTACGTCAAAGCAGTCTGCACTCGCTGCAGTAGATCCAGCAGAAATAAGGTGGCATCAGAGCCGTTAGCTGTAGTTTAGTTACCTTAGTAGAAGGGTTACCGAAAAAGCATTCCTTAATTGTAATGTGTATGCAGCTCTACTGATCCCCAAGCACAGCATACTGGTTGTCTAGCTGAAGTTTTAGTGCCTGGTTTTTTGAAACCTCATCCCTACCTCTAGTTTTGTGTTTTACTACTTCAAAGCTCTTCTCCATTTCTTTATCCCTAAGGGAAAATAAATGTAAATCAGTAAATATCTTATCACTAGCTCATGAATTGTGAATTTCTAGCCATTTTCCACCCCATCCCAACAACATTTTTACTACAAATACAAAACATGAAAGTCTGGAATTTTAACAAGATAGCCAAACATTCCCAAAGCAAATCTTAAAAAAAAAGTTATCTACAAACACATCTTCCTGTGCAATTCAGATTATGTTCTAACACATCTTCCTGTGCAATTCAGATTATATTCTAAATTTCAATATTAACATTCTCAAAGGCATACTTAAAAGCACTTTTAAACACATGTTAGAAAAGAGAAGTCAAGTCACTTTCCAGAATGCTGACCAGTAGTCAGAAGAATGTATGGCACTGAGTATACACATTTAATGTGCTATGTCAAAACAGCATTCAGAGATTTTAATCTTAGCCCAATTTACATCATCCAAGCCCTAAAGCATCAATGACAGCATGTCTTATCTACCAGAGAGACAAAACTAGGCCAGCAAAAGAAAAAAAAAAAAAAAAAAAAGGCAACAACACAAAGTTTCTGTTCTGCCAGGCTCTGTCACTCTGTCAGTCAATACAACATTGAGATGTCAAATCACTTGGGCTTTTAGGTATTAGCCTAACTATATCTTCCACAGGGAATGAGACTATGGAATAATTTGGATTCTTAGGTAGCACAAGACTAAAAATCTTCAACGCAACAAAATAAAACAAGCTTTGGTAAAGCTGGAGGACTCATCTTTCCAAACCAAGGCTCGAAAAGCATATTTTTGAATTTATGCTTGTACTAGATCAGATTCTTTAATTTAAGTCACCTTCATATTCCTAACGAGAAGGCAGTGTACTCAAAACTTTGTTTTCTACTGACAGGTGAACAGTACAAAGCCTTGCCATGGCTGGCATCTGAAGGTTCTGTCAGGAGCAGAAACATTCCAGTTAGGAAAAATCCTTCAATTAGAGGGGTAGGCTGGCAGTTTTGTTTGGCTATCTCACTGGGCTACTTCCCATGAAAGTGGTTTCATGGGAATCCCTCCACAGAGGAAGGAAACAGTTAAGATCTCTCCTGTCTCTTTGCTAGATAGAAGTAAGTTCTCTTAGTTCCTCCCTTCCTATGTGGAAAGATACTGGCTTGACCTCTATAACTGAACAAGCACTCAGAGCAGGCAGTTAAAATGTGTGGTGGGGGATTAATGACATGTACTTACTTTCGACTGTCTACAAGCTTGGCAGTGGACTGCAGCGATGGAAACTGCGTGTCACTATAGATTTCTGGTGGTCCTTGCTGTGCTCTCCGTGGCCTGCCCTCCCTGGCACCAGGCGGCCTGTACACACCACCAGTCTGCACTGGCTCTGGCGCTTCTGTAACTATTTATAAGAATGAATTTTAGACAAACGAGTAGGTTTGCATTCATCCCCAAAAAGCACAGACCAAGAGAAAAAAAGGGTCTTTAAAAGTCTTTGCAATTACAAACATGTTTTCACACCTTCTAATGCTCTGGAGGCAAACATTTTAGACACGTCCAAAAGTCAAGTGTCATCTAATTTAAGATCTGCTTATTAGTCCAACTACAGTGTGGCTCTGGCAGTGCCTCACCAAGTCCAGAGCAATAGAACCCCTGAACAGAACATCCCATATCTTGTTAGAAATTTATTACTAGTTTGCCTTTAAAAATGAGAGGTTTTTAACACATTTTCACAAACGGAAAAATATTTACAGCACCTTCATAGATGTAGAAGAGAATATCCAAATAATTCATATTTAAAGTCTACAATCTAAAATAGTAACATCAATTAGCAAAAAAATAATGTACCTATTAACTTGGCATGAGGACTTCACTTACTAAAGCAAGAGGAGCCACAAAACCATAGTAGCCCACTTTCCAATGAATTTCTAAACAGAAGAGAGTAGTCTGAACTCAGACCATGGCTACCTAAATAGTTAAACTCCACAAATATTATGAAATTATATTTAATCAAGCCTAACATTCTGTGCCTGAAATAAAAGCCTCATTTTGCAATGCCATATGCCCTGTAACCCACAACCGATTTGGAAAGGGAAAGAAAACTCTTAGTACAAGTGACTGAATCCTACTTAGGAAACACCATGTTAAACACTGACTTAACATCAGCTTATTATCAAAACAGTATTTTGAGATCTACAGAATCTTTGCAGATAGCAGGGATATCATTCAAAGCAGAGATGACTTTTTTCCAGTTTAAAAGGGTAAAAAAACCCTTCCCTCACTCCAAGACACTCCCAAAACCTTCATGCTTATTTTGAGTATCTGACAGCACTATCGATTCAGTTCTTCAGATCCCTTCAAAGGGTTTCTTATTTGCTTCTGAGAACGTAAAGCAAGCCATCAAGATGTTATGAGGTGTCAGACAGGGCAGATGCTGCTGAAAAAACTGAAATTCAGCCAGATACAAATCTTCTGACTCCCACAGTCCTCTCAACCCCTTCCTGTCACCCCCTCCAAAAGAAAAAACCCACTGCCACCACCAAAACCTCAGTTAAATTTACCAGTTGTTTCAACAACAGGTGCTGGTGCAGGAGCTGACTTGTTCCAAGGACCAGATGATTTGTCTGTACCACCTCCAGCTTCCTCCCAGTTGTCCCCAGGTTCTTCTCTTTTTTCATTTGTGTCATCATCGTCATCTTTTTCACTACAAAAGAGAAACAGTTAAGTAGCACTTTACAATAGAGGTGAAAGATTTGTCAGACATTACACAAGCACCAAGGACAAGCTTCACTGCTACTGCACAGAACAGGCTAGATTTAATCAGACTTAGTCCTTAACCACTTCCCTCAGAACAATTTTGCCACAGAATCCAACAAAACTACAAAAATAAGAGTTCAAATTATAATAAGTGGTAAGAAAATTATTACTATAATAAATTACTATACCTGAAAAACTCTTATTACTCTTTTCCATATGTAAATATAACCTACTCAGACTTATTCATTTATTTTTAAACAATCATCCAAGGTTAGGGAAGAGTATTTTTTAAACAACAAAAAAAATCTAAATAGAAGATACTGTTAAACTTTTGCATAGGAGTCATCAAAGCTTTTCTTTCACTCCTACTAGAAATAGTCACATACTCAAAAATAATTATCCGGGGATAACTAGACAGCTACTCTAGGATGTATAAGGGGGTTCCAAACACACAGAAGGGTCAGGTTTAATTACCAAAAATATTCCTAAAAAAAAAAAACAACCAAACAAACAAAAAACAAAGAGACTCAACCTACAAGAGTTGCCAATGGCAAACAACCAACCAAGAGAACAACCAACCAAATAAAACCTTGTAATTCCTGAAAACTAAATGGTCTTTGATAACAAGAGAACAAATATATGAAGCCACATCAAAACCATCATTATCCTATTTTAAAGTGCAGTCATAAGGAGATGTCTGTAGAGCAGCAAGAACAGAGAAAAGATATATAACGGTCCTCCCTTCTCCTTTGTGCTCTTAGTGTCTGGCTCTTTCCAGCAAAGAGATCTCCCAAGCTGGGCACAATGTCTAATATATACATGTTTTTTTTTTTCTTTCATTTATTTGAATCCACAAACTCTGACTGGCTCTAAAATCATGCAATACAGCAGTAAATGCATTCAAAATGCCAAATACTTGTCTGGAAAACTGAAGTACTTGCTTCTCAGACCAGCAAAGCAAATTTGACCTTTAAGTCAGTGAAGGACCCTACTTGTTACCTAAGGTGTCACTTGGACATGTGATTAGCTGAATGAAATTTGTAAATGCAGTCCTAAGGGCTCTTGTTAGAGAACACTAGCTCTATCAACTACATTTTCACATTCTTGAAATAATAAAAAAAACAACCATTCCGGTACTTGCTCCCCCAGCAGAGATGCTGACTAGATTGAGTCAGGTCTCCTTGAAGCAATCAGGTGATTTAGGGGACACTGAGGCATTTGTAACAAAAACAGTAAGTTCCTCCCTCTCCCCCTCTCAAAATACATACACACACACTATAAAACAGATAAAAATAGTACCTTATTTGCATGGATTGAACTCTAAGACCACTATAATCAATCTCTTCCTTTTGCTCAAACTCCTTCCAATCATCCTCTTCCTGTAAAAAAAGTATATATAACTTGTTACATCTTTACACCAAAAGCAGAACAGAAAGTTGAAGATGTAGCAAATTTAATACAAAGGGTAAAAGTACAGTTCCAAAGCAAATCAGCTACTGTTGGCAGGATAAGGATTCAGCTTACCCATCTTAACTTACTTACTAACCTTACTTACACACCGACTTACCTAACTTACTCTATGCACTCTACAGTGTACTTGTGAGCTCATTTTAACTCAATAGGAACAGGAAAGAAAAACAAATCATTGAAGCAAAAAGAACCCAAATCAGCTCAGGAAAAAGCCAGGAGAAAGTCGAGAGAAAACACAAAGTAGAGAACAGGAACATACACACTTACAAGCAAGAGAATAGAGCAGGACCTCTCCCTCTCATTGACAGAGAGGCTGGTTAAGCCAGTGCTTAACCAGCAGCAGATCCAAGAATTATTAAAATAGATCAAAAATGGAGCAGAACAGATAAGTCACTCCATGTTCCTAGACACACACACCCCAGCTAGCAGTGTATTTCCTACACTTTACGTGAAGCTCTTCTACCTGGAGCACAAGGTCCTGATATGCTATAAATGCCAACAGTGCAATCTCTTCCCCATTCAACAGATAGGGAAGTCTTCTTTTAAGGGCAAGATGACATTACCCTGCGCTTCCTAGGTTCTCATCTTCTGGCAGAAGAACTTTTACTACGACCTGCTTTAGAGGCACATCATTAGGCAGCAAGCCACCTTATGTTGTGGATCTAGTTGAAAAAGGCTGAGCTTTAAGCAAAGAAAGGCACTCTACGGCGCTGCCATCGCCTCCTCGGAAGCAGCCCCGTACTTTCCAGACTACGACCCCTTTCACGTTTAGCTCTACGGCCCCTTTTTCCCTGTCTCAATCGCAAGCTCCGGCACAACGAGAGCTTTTCATAAGCAGGGGGCAGCGGGCACGAGGGGCTCTCCCGCGGCCGGGCGCGGGCGGCGGCCGCGGCCCAAGG